GAAGGGCCTGCCTTGTCAGGGTCCCTGTGGAGCAGAGCCTTTGAGGAGCCCTTGGGAGCAGGGGTTGGGGGCGTGGGACTCATGGAAAGAGAACAGCAAGGAGGGCGCCGTGATGAGAGGGCCCTGGGCTTAATCCTGCTGGAGGCTCAGCAAGGAACCTGGAGGACCCGGATGCTGGGCGCCTGACCAGCAGCCCCCCCACTGCCGAGGGAGGCCCCAGGTGTTAACTCCCCGCTGCCGGCTGGGCCAGCCTGAGGCCAAGCAAGGTCACCTAGGTGCCTCCAAGTCCTCCAGCCAAGGGACAGGTGGCCCGGCTGAGGGGGGAGCGCCAGCCAGCAGTGTGGGGGCTCAGCTGGGCCAGCCGCTGTGGGCAGGCAGCACCCGTCTGGGCGTTGAAAGGACTCGGGATGGGGGGCTTGGCTCAGACCTGCTGGGAGGAAGCCCCCACCTGTTACCTGCGGTTCCAGGTGTAGCACCTGAAGCCCAGCAAAGCTCGGTAGTCAGCCGCCCCTCCGCTCCAGGTCGCTCGTTCAAAGCCCAGGGCCTCGCACCCGGTCCGCTGCGAAGGCACCTCCCCCAGCTGACCGCAGCACCCGCTGACCCCGCACCAGCCTGTGCTGGCGGCCTTGCAGCTGCGTGTCGCAAACAAGGCCAGGAGCAGGCTCAGCACAGGGCCAGTCAGCACACATCACCCTGATGGAGACCAGGTCCCCGTGCCTAGAGAAGACAACAGAACCAGCCAGGCTTCCCTGGGGAACACAGCTCACGGAGGGGAGCAGGGGATTCTGCCACCACTCGGGAGGGTGTTTAGCACAAGAGTGAGGCTTGGGATCTGCAGGTGTCCCCCAGCCCCTGCCCAGGAGAAAAGAGTGAAAGCTCCTAGAGGAAGCAGACGGAGGATCTGACCACAGCATGAGCACCAGGCCTGTCTCCCCCTCCCGGAACCCGCGAGGCAGAGCTGCGGACCAACACGCCCATTTCACAGACCACTTGGCAGGCGGGCAACTGAGACTCAGAGAAGGGGGGAGCC